CGAAAGTACAAGGTCCTGAGTTCAATCCCTGCCCCCCCAATATATATATATATAAAACTTTTTGAAGAATTCAAGAAAAACCATCTCAGGAAGAAGTAAAAGCTTGAACAAGAGACTTGGGGTAAGAAACAGCATGCTAGGTTCAGAAGGGTGAGTGCTGGTAGACATGAAGTAGAGATTTCTCAGGCAGAAGAGATGGAGGAAGATCATGGATGGCCTGGTTTGTCACATGAAGGAGCTTGCATTTTAATCTGTGGGCAGTGGGAAGCCACAAAAGTGTTTTAAGAAGATTCTTTTTTAAGATTCTTTAAAGTAGATCCATGAGGTGATTATGTAGGAATTAAATATGAGAAGGTCAAGGAGCACTGTCTTGCTGGGTGTTGTGCTGCAGGCCTGTAATCCCAGCTACCTGGGAGCCAAGGCAGGAGGATCACAAGTTCAAGACCAGCCTGGACGACACAATGAGACTGTCTCAGAATAAAATTTTTGAAAGGACTGGGGTTGTAGGTCTGGGTCATCACCTATCTGGTATACCTGAACCTGGGTTCATTTTTCATTACTGAAAAAAAATTTATTTTCATTCAAATTATCAGTTAAATCTTACAACCTTAGTCATTCTTTTTTTTTTTTGAGACAGGGTCTTACTATGTATTTGAGACTGACCTGGAACTCACTATGTAGCCCAGGCTGGTCTTGAACTCACAGCAATCCTCCTCCCTCAGCCTCCCCGGTGCTGATGACAGGTGTGCACCACCACGCCCGGCACCCTTAGTCATTCTTAAAGGAAAAATAAATTAGTCTATTTAGTCTTGTTTGTTGTGGCAATACTGGGGATTGAATGCAAGGTCTCACATCCATGCTAAGCAGGTACCCTGTCACTGAGCTACATCCCCAGCTGTTCACTTTTTTAAAAAAATAGAAAGAAAACGGTCACAACAGCAGTATACTACTATAGTGCATTTATGTGTGGTCCCACACATATGAATCTAAGCTTTATTGTACATAAAAACAAATCTGGCCAGGGATTTATCTCAGTGGTTTCATTTTTTCCCCTTACCTCTGCCCTCCCTTCACCCCCTCCTCCTCCCCCCATCTACAAACACTTTATTTTCATCTTTTCATTCTCTCACATTTTTTTCTTTTCCCTTTTTTACTCTTCCCCTACTATTGGTAAAATTTAGATACAATCACATTCATTATAGGGAATGTGTACCAGTATGTGATATATCATGACCTTTTTTTCCCATTCCCCTCCTCTTCCTTCAACCACTCTTCTGTAACTTATTTACAAAAGTTTTGTTTCTTTATTTTCATCTTTTCATTCTCTCACATTTTTTTCTTTTCCCTTTTTTACTCTTCCCCTACTATTGGTAAAATTTAGATACAATCACATTCATTATAGGGAATGTGTACCAGTATGTGATATATCATGACCTTTTTTTCCCATTCCCCTCCTCTTCCTTCAACCACTCTTCTGTAACTTATTTACAAAAGTTTTGTTTCCATTTTGTGCTTTTTTTCATTTTTTTCTTTTTCCTTCCTTCCTTCCTTTCCCCCTTCCCCTCCCTAGTGCCCCTTCCCATTTGAACATTTTCTATTCACAATTTCTAGTATACGTTTTAGTCCTTATTTATACTTTCAGTTTCTCACACCAGAAAAACAATGCAGTATTTATACACATGGGTCTGATTTATTTCACTTAAGAGCATGATCTCACACACACACAAAAAGTATGATCTCAAGTTGTACCCGTTTGTCTAGAAATGTGTCAAGTTTATCCTTCTTTAAGGTGGATGAGTAGTATTCATTGTATTAAAATACCACATCTTTATCCATTCTTCAGTTGATGAGTATTTGGGCTGTTTCCAAGATATAGCTGTTACAAACTGCGCTGCTATAAACGTGGGTACGCATATATCTCTTTGGTATGACGTTTTTCTTTTGGGAAGATACCAAGAAGGGGAATAGTTGAGTCAAATGGAACCTTTAGTCCTAGCTTTTTGAGGACTCTCCATACTGATTTCCACACTGGTTTCACCAGTATATACTCCCACCATCAGTGAAGAAGAGTTACTTTTCTCTACAACCCCTCCAACATTTGTTTTGGTTGATTTCTTGATAACAGCTATTCTTTCTGGAGTGAGATGGACTCAGTGTTGCTTTAATTTGCATCTCTCGAGTGACCAATGACATTGAACACCTTTTAAAATATATTTATTTGCCCAACCTACTCCCCCCCACAGTGCCGGGGCTCAAACTCAGGACCCTGTGCTTGTAGGCAGGTGCAGTGCCACTGAGCTAAATCCCCAGCCCTTGCATTGTGTTTTTATATGTATTAATTGACATGCTGATACAGAAAAAGAGAAGCTGTTACGATCATTTGGGATATTTCAGGAAAATAAGCACAGTAAAACAGCCTGTATTATGGGTTAGGAACAGAAAGTATACTATACTCTATGTACATTATTTCACTTAATCCTTGAGATCTTTGGAAAACTGATGTTAAAGCAAGGTCATGACCCTAGTTAAGTAGTGGAGCAAAGCATGTCAACTAGCTTTCAGATCAACTAGATAGGAGAAGAATACAGGAGTGGTTTAGAATGGCAAAGAAGATTAAACTTCTACTCTTTTGGACTTTGCTTGCTGGATTTAGAGATCTAGGTAGAGAATATTTATTATTTGAAGTAGAGGTGGGGTTGAAATAATCACTTTCAAATTATCAATTTAAAAAGCATATAGGCCGGGGATTTAGCTCTTTGGTTTTGCCACCTGCCTTGCAAGTGCAAGGACCAGAGTTCGATCCCTGGTACCAAAAATAAAAAAGCATATAATCTGCTGGGCATGATGGCTCATGCCTGTAATCCCAACACTTAGGAAGTTGAGGCAGGAGTATTGTGTTGAGTGCTGTGAGTTCCAGGCCAGTGTGGACTCCATAGCGAGTTCAAGGCCAGCCTGAACCACATAGCAAGACCCCTGTCTCAAAAAAAAAAAAAAAAAAAAAAAGAATACATATACATATATATATTTATACATAGTTGGACATTGTGGCCCACACCTGTAATCCCAGCACTTGGGTGGCTGAGACAGTAGGACTTGTAAGTTCCAGGCCAGCCTGAACTATATAGCAAGACCCTGTCTCAGAGGAAAATAAAAGGGCCAGGGATTTAGCACTCAGTGGTGCTGTACCTGCCTCACAAAGCACAAGGTCTTGATTTTAGTCCCTGATACCAAAACAAAGAAAAACTTAAAGAAAAATAAAATGGGGTCAGAGATGTAGTTCCGTGGCACTGTGCCTCCTGGCAAAGCACAAGGTCCGAGTTCAATCCCTGGTACCAAAACCCCAAAATAATAATAATAAAATCAAACTTTGAAAACATATGTAATACATATACATGCCACAGAATGTTCATTGTTCAAGTATGAATAGCATTCATCTCACACTGAGCCCCAGGGATCATTTCCCCTCTCAAGATGCAACTGTATTACCAGTTTCTCTGGGTTCTTTTTAGAGGTAATCTTCATATATACAATTACAGCCCGGCATAATGACTCACGCCTGTAAACCCAACACTCAGGAGGCTGAGGCAGGAGGATCGCTGGGAGTTCGAGACCCTGTCTCAAAAAAAACCAATAAATAAATAAACAAACAAGCAAACATAAAACTACAGTGATACCTCAGTTATCAAACTCCATTCATTCCAGATTTGTTCAAACATCGAAAAGTTAAAGAACTGAAAATGTTTTTCCTATAGGAAATAATGAAAACAAAATAGTTTCTAGGCCCAAAAATTACACTTACAAATTCATTTTTCCAGGACTTTAACACATTTTGCAAAGATTTCTTTCTTTAACTTTATAATGATTCTCACAGTTTTCCTCTTAGCTTTATTGCTGGTGTCACTTTCTTTGGAGCCACAGTTATGATAGTTTACATAAGTAAAGCGCACATTAGAGAGCACTGAATGTGGCAGCTCACTGACACAGGCACTGTGTGTTGTCTGGGCGAGTGCAGCCCTTAGACTGAAGTGTCCATGTGGGACACAGTGCATGACTCATTCTTGGCCTGCACAGGTTTTTTTCAAGTCAGATTATCAGTTTGACAGTTAAGCAGATTTATGAACACCAAACAGATCTTTTTCAAATTTTGCTATTCCAGTAGTGGAAAGTTTAAGCTTGGAGCTGTTCATATTTGTGTTTAAACAAATTGTAGGTACCATATGCACAGTTCTGCTGCATGCTTATCTCACTGCTTTATTACCTTTATTTTTGCCTGAATTAATATAACCAAATGCAGCATTTCCCAGAAAATCCTTAAAACTTCCTTCTGTGCAGTCTTAAGTGCTGTTCTCTCCTGAAATGCCCCTTCTTTTAATCTTTGCAACTCACTTCCTGTATTTTGAGTGGTCTATTTTGTACTATGCAATCTTTTAAAAAATAATAACAGGCCGGGCGTGGTGGCACACACCTGTAATCCCAGCACTCGGGAGGCCGAAGCAGGAGGATCTCTGTGAGTTGGAGACCAGCCTGGGCTACTTAGTGAGTTCCTGGTCAGTCTCAACTACATAGTGAGACCCTGTCTCAAAAAAACAAAAAAAATAAAAATAAAAAATTAAGAAAAATAAAAATAACAGTTGTGTTGTAAGTTAACCAGTTCAACAAATTTATGAATGGTAGAGCTCATATTCATTTTTTTAAATCTCCATGGTACTCTCCCAACAGTGATTTGGATATGTTAGGTATTCACTAACCATTTGCTGATAATAATAGTGGTAGATAACTGTCTCAAGTTACCAAGCCTGAATATTTTCAATTTAGCCTTTCACTTGCTAATTTCTGTTGTTATTTCGTATCTCAGCTTTTACTAATTGTATTTTTAAACAGTATGTATATAAATGCAAAAACTTCATTATATAACCTTATAACACCTTAAATCTTTCCTTTTCACATACACATTTTATTTGTTCATTATATTTTTTCTTTTAACTTGCTCTGTTGCATAGAGAAGCTGCAACCAGTTTTGCAATTTTCCAAGTCACAAACGGACGTCTATAATGACAGTACTAACTTGACATGCCGAAATGGACATCTGCAGTCAGGTGGGTTTTAGGTTAACTAACATAATATAAGGAGGCTTGCCTGTAAAGTAGGGTTGCCTGATCTTGGTTTTATCTCACATCTTTGCATTTGCTTAACTTGTTCCCTTTTCCAGAATACTTTCCTACTTCTTCCTGACAGCATCCATTAGTTCCTTGAGCATAGGGTTCAGAACTTTATATTTATGTACTGGAAAAACCTCTTGATCAAGCTTACTCTATTCCCTTATTTGGACATGTCTTAATCATTTTGTTACATTTCCTAGTTATTCCTAATTACTATAATTTGTTATAATAATTATTCCTAATATTATTATTTGTTCTTTGTCTTTTGTAAATTGAATCTGATTTTGTAACTAAAAACCCTATTTCCATTTTTTATTTTTTCTTGGTACACTGTGTGTATTAGCCATTTGATACATTGTTAATGAAGTGAATTATTAATGTTTAAATTTATTAGATAGGCGTACTTCCAGCTCTTACTGTGAAAAATATAATTCTATAAGTCATAGTCATTTATGTCCTAGAACAATTAAGTTAACCTTGAGTAGGTCTATAATAATCTTCATGACTGTCATAAATTTGATTATAATGTAAATGATGGCTCATAGTTGGTGTAATGTTTGAATATTTGGATAGATGGTTAAAACTGTCTCTTTCTCAGTGCTATGTATATTCTACCACTTGTCATAGAGGTCCTGATTTTAGTCCCACAGTGGCTAAATATGAGGCTAATATTTGGAGGACATTTTAAGGTATCATGAATGTGTGATTCTTTTAAATCTTGAATTTTATTTATTCTTTCTGATTATGAGTAATCTGATTCCCTAGAGTCCTTAGTTCTTTAAACCATATTAAGGGATTTGATAACAAAAGCAAAATTGAGGCTTTTGTCTTTTCTCAGCCTAATTTGCTCATTGGTGTAACATTTGTCTTTACAGTGAACATTGTTAATAAGCACTGTTTTTTATGTAAATATATGAAATATATTACTTAGAAGTGGTAAGAGTTGAACATTTAAAAGCCTTTGAGTTCCCATCAATTGGGAGGCTGAGGCAGGAGCATCACTGTGAGTTTGAGACCACCCTGGGCTACATAGTGAGTTCCAGGTCGGTCTCAACTACATAGTGAGACCCTGTCTCGAAAAACCAAAAAAAAAAAAGCCTTTGAGAGCTGAATGTGGTAGCACAAGCCTGTGATCCCAGCACTCAGGAGACTGAGGCAAAGAGGTTTGCCACAAGTTTGAGGCCAGCCTGGATTACATGGTGAGACCCCCACCACCAAAGTAAGACTTTTCTTAGCTTATTATTTTGCACAAAAAGTGTCTCATGAGCTATTAGCGTAAAGACTTTATGTGAAGAAAATCACAGAACTGATAACCTTTTGAATTAATCAGAAGTGTTCTATAAATTTTACGCATCACATACTTGGCATATTGAAATCCTCAACTTTATGCTTTTTGAACTAAAATTGATTAATTGAAAAACTTTTTGGGCCAGGGATTTAGCTCAGTGATACTGCCACCTGCCTCACAAGCACAAGGACCTGAGTTCTATCCCTGATATAAAAAACAAAACAAAACAAAACCCAAAACAAACAAACAAAAACTTTTGGTGAGCATAGGCTGTACCTTCTATCTGTATTTTATAGTCATGCAAGTTTGCAACCAAAATAGTGGATGCTGCTTTTTTTTTCAGTGTGCAGCATATCCTTCTGACCTTTACTGCATTTGGTTTCTTAAGTGTATGAGAACTTTATGTGCTTGGTACCTTTCTCTTTTATTTTGGTTTCTTGAGACAGGGTCTCACTGTGTAGTTGAGACTGCCCTGGAACTCATTTTGTAGCCCAGGCTGGTCTCAAACTCACAGCGATCCTCCTGCCTCAGCCTCCCGAATGCTGGGATTACAGGTGTGCACCACCATGCTCGGCTATTTGGTACCTTTCTTATATCATCTTTATTTCCCCTCAAATGAAGTTGGTTCTTTTTCTTACAGATACATTTCTTCCTAAGAAAATGTGACTGTCAGGAAAAGGAAATAACTTAATTGGCATAGTCCTTTTCAACTACTGACAACCCCTGTAAACAGTCTGGCATTTGTTCTGATTGAAATCTTTGAAATATTTCTGAATTTTAAAAAATATTGTTAGCTTAGTTTTATACATTTGTGCCTGTCTTTGTTAATACTTTTTATAATTTTTGGCCACAATTTTCTAATCATATGTTTTTATTTTTTCTTTGATAGAAAGTGGAGCTGTTCCAAAAAGAAAAGATCCCTTAACACATGCTAGTAATTCACTGCCTCGCTCAAAAACAGTTATGAAAACTGGATCCACGGGTCTTTCAGGTCACCACAGAGCACCTAGTTGCAGTGGTTTATCCATGGTTTCTGGAACAAGACAGGGGCCTGGTCCTACAATGGCCACTCATAAGGTATTATAGGACACTGACTTTAATAGCTGTGCTTTTGCAAATAAAAATGCTGTATTTGCTTAGTTTATTATAGGAACTTTATGATAATACTTAGAGAACTTATAAGATTCCAGAAAGTTAAATACAATTTCTTTTAATTTAGAAGGGCGAACTTGCTAGTAAAAAGCAAACCTAGCCGGGAATTTAGCTCAGTGGTTCTCCTGCCTGCCTTATAAGCGCAAGAACCTGAGTTCAATCCCTGGTACCAGAAAATAAAAATAAAAACAATTAAAAAAAAGCAAACTTTATTTAATCCTTTTGGACCTAATTAGGCATTTTATATTGAGTTACTCAGTCTCTTTAATATAGTGTTACGTATGTGTATCTGTCATTTTAAATGTATTAATTTCAGTTTATGTAAATTTAATATTAAATATTCGTAGAATTTTCTCACAGTTCTAACAAGGGTCAAAATTATATGACTGTTGCCATACAGCCTATTTCTTTTACATTAACTAAATCTCTGAATAAAATCTCTGTAAACCAACTTCATGCTAAATGTAGTGTAGTTTTGCCCTGGAATCAATACACAGTTTGGGGAATTTTATATTCTTTTTCCTGTTTGTTAAAACTGGATTCTGTGAGGGCTGGGAATTTAGCTCAGTGGTTCTGCTGCCTGCCTCACAAGCATAAGGACCTGAGTTTGATCCCCGGTACCCACCCCCAAAAGCATAAATGATAGGTTATATTTACACATTAAAATTCTGTATCCTTTTAGGGCACTCCAAAAATAAACAGAACAAATAAGCCTTCAACCCCTACAACTGCTGCTCGTAAAAAGAAAGACTTGAAGAATTTTAGGAATGTGGACAGCAACCTTGCTAACCTTATAATGAATGAAATTGTGGACAAGTAAGTTTTGCCATCTAAAGACTGTATAGTTTCTGTGTTTGAATTATATTTATAAAATGTATTACAAGTAAAATAGAAAATTCAACTTGGTAATCAAGTTGAAGAATTTATCTTTTTGATGCCAGGGATCAAACTCTGGTCCTTGAACTTGCAAGGCAGGCGGTAGAACCACTGGGCTAAATCCCCAGCCCAAGTTGAAGAATTTAAGTAGGCAGGATCAGATTCATAATAAAACTGTTTTCATTCTGAAAAAATACAAGGGGAAAACTTTTGTGATTTACATACTTAGTTTTTATGGTAGATTTTTTTACTTTTTAGGGCACTTTATTTTTGTTGGTACATTTTGGAGCTATATAATGATAATGTTAACCTGTACATGATATATCCTGCTTCTTCATTTTTCACATTCCCCTCCCCTCCAAACTCTCTTCCCCTCCCTTTTTTTTTTTTGGTACCAAGGATCGATCTTGTGTCCTTGCGCTTACAAGGCAGGCAGCGGAACTGCTGAGCTAAATCCTCGACCCTTCCCCTCCTTATTTCAGAAGAGTTTTTTTGCTATAAATATAGAAATTCACTTTTACTAAATTATAGTTACATAGTTAAAATAAAAGTGATTACACTTCATAAAACATACAGTTCCTATGTGTTGTAATAACCGAACCATATTTTTATATTGGGATTAACTGAAATTCTTTTTCTTAGTGGGACAGCTGTTAAATTTGATGATATAGCTGGTCAAGAGTTGGCAAAACAAGCATTGCAAGAAATTGTTATTCTTCCTTCTCTGAGGCCTGAGGTAAGGACATTGTGTTACCATTTTTCTATAACATTGTCCAGCCTGGTGTGATACATTCCTATAATTCTAGCACTCTGGAGACTGAGGCGGGACCATTGTGAGTTTGAGGCCAGCCAGGGCTACATAGGGAATTCAAGGCCAGTTTGAACTACATACAAGATCTTGTCTCAAAAAACAAAAATAAAAAATTATAAAATTGTCCATTCTTCATTGATTGTAGTAATAAATATCTTGTGCTGGGATAATTAATTCACATAAGGCAATAGTAGACTTAGTGTTTTTAGAAGATGAACATTAGTAATTCATGTTTATAGGTTATTATAGAAGAGGAGAATGAATATAAGTTCCTAATTCCCATTTTATTTCTAATTTTTATTAGAAAAGTGAATGTTATAATTTTATGTCAAGGTGAGATACAGATTTAAAATTAAGATCCTTCCTTGGCCTCCTGAATGCTGGGATTATAGGCATGCACCATCAAGTCTGGCTTCTTTTATCCTTTTTTTTTTTTTTTTTTTTCTTACCTTAAATACCTAGCAAGATTGTCTCCAC